ATTGTGCACGAGCATTGTATACGAAATGTTCTATACTTACCGAAAAATATTTCACGCACGAATTCTTTGATGAATACGGAATCGAGCTTTTTCTTAACAATAATACTGCTCAACTAATTCAATTTATATACAAGAATACAAAATTATTTTTCTTTCCAAGCAAGAATCTATCGCACGATAATTTATACTAATTTATGTCAATTATACCAATTCATATTTATATTTGCACACACAAATATATATTAAAACAAAGAGCCTCATTCGGTTAGAACTAGATCTTTGTGCCTAATAATATTTCTGCGTGAATTTATATCTATACATTTTCCAATTCTGGGTTATTTGTCAATCATGAAACGTAATCTCAAATTGCAATGGGGACAGTAATATCACAAATTAAATTAATTACCAATTGATTCCATTGTGATATCAATATCGGTCTATTTTCTTTATAACACTTATTATTATAAATTACAATCGTTCAATTTATGTTCATGTGGCCCAATTTTTTAAAATAAATTACAAAAAATGAATGTAATATTTTACTTGATAATCATACTAAATCGCGTATGAAGAATAAGTTGACTATGTGATGTGATAAATCGTAAGACGGAACGTTTAACGTGACCTATCGACGCCCCGACTCTAATTATTATGCACTTAATTTTCTAATGAAGCGCATCGAGCGAGGGTCGTGGAAAACGGCGCGCTCGTGCACTGATTTCACGGGCCACCTGTCGCACCGACGCTTCATCCGCCCTATTCGTTTTGTCGCATCGGTCACGCAGGGTGTAAGACATTATTTTACGCGGAGGGTGAGCGGACCGCACCATGGAAACTCTCTAGCTGACTTATTTATGAAAATCATAAATGGAAACTTTACTTTTGCTGCAATCTAATTTTTTACTATACGTATACCAATTATTTCTCTTAATATTTCTTTTTTGTATTGGAAGATGTATCATTTACAAAAAGTAGAATAAAGATTTTCCTACTTATATTTAGAATTTAGGATAAAGTACACACACTTAGATGAACCTTCAAAATTAATACACATACTTAAATATCCATATAATCATAAAAGTCCATATATACTGATGAGAAGAAGATATCGACAAGCAATTAAAATTATCAAGTTTATGATACGAAATGTACAATCAATATTGTATAAAATTCGAATCTACAAGACTTAACTCTTCTATCAATGCATAATTTTTCTTTTTCGCTATCGTGCTGACAACTTTTTCTACTAAAAATATAAAAGTGAAAACGAGATAAAGTCCGTGCAAAATTGTTCTTTATTCAAAGGATTTGTGGTATTACACGAAACTCGCATAAAAATATAAAAGTTTTTACCGTTTTTAATTCGAAATCGGTACCCGGGTACCCGTGCACTGGCAGAAGAGTTAATGATACATATGTAAAAGCCAAAGATTTAATTTATAACTTCTGACATTAAAAACAGAGGATACGTCATCCTGGATAACGTATTCTCGATTTCGAATGTACGTTTGTGACGGGGAGTGGCGTTTGGTTAAATCAGTTCGTATGTTTCCCAACAAGACCACGCTAACCTTTACCAGTTCTCGTCATCATCTGTCGCCGTTTGAACACAATGCCAGAGAAACGACAAATATGTCAGGTCGCGAGGAAATAAAGGGAAGCGCGGCTGAGCGTCGGAACGCCCCTTGGACTCAATCGATTAGAAGTGTCCACCTTCTTAGGAGTGAACTGCTCGCACCACCAGTTCGACCAATTCGATCAGTTTTTTTTCCTCCCGATTCGACGCCCAATTCGATCGATCTTTCGAACGAGAGACACCGGTTGACGACCAAACGGGAACGATCGTGGAAAAAAATTAAGTGGAAGTAAGAGATGTTGACAAATCTCGACGACTACTCTTCCCGGCGCAGCATCATCGTGGAACAGACGGTCGTCGACAAAAAGGGGGTGACTAGGGGGTAGGTGAATCTCTCCCTTAGATAGATAGGTAGGTGCGGTCAGTGTCACGAGGGCTCACAAAGGCTGACCGCCGGTAGGGACATTCAAATGGTAATCGGCTCGCGCATCTAACGTACACCGACGCGCCCTACCCAACCCCGCTTCAAGGGGGTGCGAGAACGGGCGCACCCCTCGACACACAGCCGAGCACATTCGCACTAGAATCAAGCCAAATATTGGCAATATCATCCCCTGGCATTGTCCCTCGCCGCGACCTGCCTCCTGCCGCCACCACTGTCGGTGGGAAACGATGTCCATTTGAATGCACGATTCCATTACCGATGCCGGTATATCGGCCCGAGAATATTACTGGATTAGGATTTAAAGGGAAGCAGAATCTCAGCGCAGTCGTAGAAACTCGGTCATTTCTACGGAATATGCCACATTGCTGCATGGTATAATAATAAACACGATAGAGTCGAAAAAGTAAAAGACAGGTTCACGCTTTGTCTTCGTATTTTTCATTCATTGTTTACATAAGTAATTTTAATTTATAAAACTTTTAAAAAATTATTAAGAATATAAAGATAACGAGATTTGAGAAATCATATGTAAGAAGAATATTATAAATATTTCACGTAATTAAACATGCTATTTTTAATAAAGTATAATATACATTAAATTTTTTAATTAGAAATTATACTTATATATATATTTTAACTATATATATAGTTAAAAAAATTTTTTTTACAATTTTTGTATAAAATATTACAAAAATTAATTTCAAAAATTATTTCATTTTTTGTCATCTGAACAATGTAACTGTAATATCACAATATCGATAATTAACGTAAGTTAATTATTAATTCGCTTTTCCGAAAAATATATAAAATTATAGTCATTACCGCAATCACGTATCTTGCTTAATTAGCGTCATTTCGGTCGGAGCACACTTGATGCGCTTATGATAGTCGACTGTAATCCGATTCAGGTCGTTGCGCCGATTATCTCGTAAAACGCGCTGCCGGGATTCACGATACGGACGAGCGGACGGACAAACGCGTCCGTTTGACGTTCACGAATAGATCTGTGCGATTCGCGATCGCTGTTGATTCAGGGTGAGCAACGTCGCACGTGTGCCAGTGTAGACGCACGCAAAGCTCCCGCAACCCGAACTTCAGCACGCGCCACGATTACGCGATTACGCGATTACGCGTGTCGTCTCCCCATCGTACAGCCCGGGCTGACACCCCGAAGGAGAGATCGAACAAGCAATGACGCGGAAGATGATTCGCTCCCTCCTATCATCCACGAAGAGCGAATCTATGTTAGCGAAATAAACCGGCATCTGCCAAGAAAAAAGAGGCACCACTTTTTCATAGCGTTCGAGATCCATTTATCTAATAATATCAGGATCATACTAACAGATTCAATACTAACAATTAACAAATACGAAATGATAGATATTATTTTTCTTTGTCACAATATCTTCAATATAAAATTTTTCTAAATATTCACGTAGATTAAGAAGAATAAAATGAAAGATTGATAATAATTTATCTATAGTAAGAACGCGCAAGAATTCCTACCAAAGAGTGAAATATTATTTTCTCTTCATGCGTCTCAAAATCCAAGACGCAAGGATGCATTTAAAATAACATGCGTGCGTACTGACCGGGATTTTGCACATCGCCTACGCAGCGCAGCGGGAATTAAAGGACAGGCAGGAGGGAGTGATACGTACCGTCGGCACGAGTCGACACGTGGCGGTAGCGCTTTATACAAACAGCATTATGCACGCTGGCGCTAACATAAATTACTGCGGGTTTAATATTGGACGTCGGCGTTGGCCGTGGCCGACCACCTCCTGAGCAAAATACGTTAAATGCGGGAAGAGCCCGGATGTGTAACCACGATTCGCGATTTCTCGGTTTACTCGAGGAATTTCTCGAAGACCCAATACCGAGCACACAAATAGTAACAATTACATGTATTGCAATACGAATATATATGTATATATATATATATATACAATATTACATATGTAATTACGAAAAAATGCATTGACATGTATTACATACGTAATATATGTATATCAATGCTTTTTCTTCTGTGACTTTTTTGTTCTAAACACTGTAGATTAGTTCATACTAAACTGCTATAAACTAGTTTGCATTTATTAAATTCAAATATTTTACTAGTATTTCTATCCCTGTTTCTAATAAAATTCATTTCTGCCGGATGCGACATCGATCAGATGAATTCGAACAAACACGAAAGAAAAGGCTTATGAATGGTATTACTCGTGAAAAGCCTCGGCCGAATTTCATAGTAGGTTCTTTCACGACACAAAAGCGTGAAAGACTTCGGAAAACTTTGAGAGCTCAGGAAATATCCAAATACCACCGCGAAAGCGAGAACGAGCGGAAGAAACGATAAGTGGACACCCCGTGAAGAGTGATGCGATACAGGCCGTTCGCATGGGTTAAGGTCGGTTTCGTTTATGAATGAGGATCGAAATCCACGCAAGTCGCATGTTGACTCGAGTGTTGCTCTCTGCAGTAGAGTCTCGTCTTAATCCCGAAGAAGCAGAGTGCAAGACCGGATGTGGCCTCTTGAATCCCGAACGGATTGGCATTGTTTACTATGGATTTACACGAAATGAGAAAGTGTTAAGCGTATAAAAACAGTGGCTGCTATGAGAATAAAAGCATATCGAACACCATTTTGATTAATTAGAAAAATATTATAAAAACAATAAATTAAATATTAGAACAATATTAAAACCAATATGAGAAGGCATATAAAAATAAATTTGAGGTAAAATAATTTCGATCCTCTCTACTTCTCGTTTTCAATAGCAAATAAAAAATGTGGAAAAAGTTTAAAAATATGAAATCCTAGACATAAAATCGTGGAATGTCTACGAGGTAGAAATTTAACTTTAATTTTTATGTCTATGATAAAAATATTTGTGTCTATAGTAGAAATTTAATTGAAATCTTTAAAACATATGAATAATCGATAATTCTATTTCTTTTTGCATACTTCTCTCAATAAATTACTCGAATGATTCACTGACGGGACTTTGCTCTTAACTCACAAAGACATTAGGATTACAGCATGTCACGATTAAAAAATTAATGCGTATGTACATCTTATATTCTCAAACATAATGTTGGAACAGGTTCACGCTATAATGGCTCATACATTCTACGTTCGGAATCCTTATCCTGTACCGGATATCTCCCGGGAAGGAGCATGGATATCACGTGGGCCTGTGTTGGGAGATAAAGTCTCGCCATTGGATAAAAATTGGAACGTCAAATTGGGCGCTCACGAGCGTCTCTTCGCTCATCACACTCTAAACAGCATTCGCAGGGATCGCCGACTCGTCAGACCGCAGGTTTCAATATTCGATACTGAAAGTAAAACTTTCTATTATATTACAATTTTTGTCAATTTTTGCATAACTGCTTTTACAGGTTCCACATGACGCCCTCGATCTAGCGTTAAACAGCGTTTATGCTCACAGTCGAGACACTCTAGTTTCGAAGATGTACGTGCCCATCCAGCCGGAAACGCTCGGGAGAGAAACTTGGCGTGTCTTACGAAACGAGATTAAGGTATTTGTAAGTTACAAAAAACGAATTAAATATAATTAAGTTGAATTACATCTACAAACGCGTTATTAAACAATAAAAAATGTTAATGTGAAAAATAAAGGGATATTTGAACATTTTTAGATTTTACCGGAACCATCTAAATCAGATAGACCGATGCACGTGAGCGGTCATCCGGACGAGGAACTTAAATCGGTAGTTCGGACACCTTTATCGGCGGATAAATCGAGGTGTCATAGCGGGCCAACTTTACCGCGGAGAATTCATCCGAGCAGCGTGAAATTAAATATCGAGGGTCCTCATATGGACCAATCGAATCCCGGATACAGTCGCAAAATCGACGGAACTTTTTACAGTATTTAAACACGGATTTGGGCGGTGTTTGAGCGGCACGCTTGGAGAACGTTCGGATTAAGCTGAAACCTGCAATTCGCCGAATGAAGCTCCCGCTTTTACAAATACCATTATCGCTATTGGCATAATCTGGCGAGATTTACGTTTTAGAACCCCGAGAAGCAACGAATCGTCATCGTGACTGTAATGTAGACACGAAATTGATCATATTAGAAAACTATTGTTTACTTTACGAAAAAGCGTATGATTAAATCGCGTCAATTGTCGCCATTATTTCGTAACATGAAAAAGTATCTATAATCTATGATCTATCGATTATCCTATCTATCTATGCTAATCTGATCATGTTGACAAATTTATCCAGTGGTTCACGAATTTGTCTTAGCTATCGTGAACGGAGATCTCCCGATTGCATTTTCGCCCCTTTGACAATTCGAGGCAGCCCGAAGATCGGCAGAAGCGTGAGTCAGTGCACACCAACTTCTCACTGCTCAACTCAGCAGTGAGCTGAAGGGACAGAATGTCCCATTACTCGGGTAATCCTTGTTTGTAATAAACCAGCACCCCGCTGCCAGGTCGGGGTGACAGTGGAGCCACCCTCGCCGAGGGCTCGCGCGAAGGAGGAGTCATCTCCGCACGCATATGCTCCTCATGAAATATCATTTATGTTTCTCACCCCGCGCGCAAACGTCTATCTTGCGACCCGTTTGACCCGGCTCGCAACCCTCCGATATCCTCTCTGCCAGGCCGGAATAGGCAGCACGATCCTTATACATACGTCTAATCCGGCCATGATTGCCCCGCCGACCGCCTCGTCACGAAAACTCCACCTCGGCTATGAGATGTAGTACGCTCTACCCTTCCTCCGTCTGACCCTATTCTTCTAGCGCCTTTAAAACACTTTTTGACGAACCTCGCAACGGTACGAGGTGATGAATTTTTTGCGCTCGTGCGCAATTTCCCTTCATCGTTTTTGTATTAAAAGTTAACAGGGTTTCAGCCTTATCGTGGATATACGGCTGTTACAATCTACGTCGAATTTATTATCTGCATTTATTACAGTTGTATGCTAATATGCGGATATCTCGTTTATAATTATTTCGATTATAATATCGTAAACTCGACGGTCCCGATGATGATTTTTCTGTGGATTACATTGCGGCGCATGACTATTGACAAGGATTCTTTTTCTTCTCAAATACAATGGTAGAGAAAGGCACCAGAGCTATAAGGGTAGAACAATCTCAGACGGTCGTCAGGCAACGAGCGAGGTTACCAGCCAATTACTTGGCTGAACGGTTTTATTTGTATTTAATTCTTATTTAATTTACTTTTTATGGTCGTGCGCGCGCGTTTTGCCGCCGCCATTAAGGAAATGGAAGGCTTCTTCGTCATTGCAAATTAACGGCCAGTCACAGTCTATCCTGTCAAATGCAATCAATGTAGGTAAAAATGCGATCAATTGCACGACATGGTACTCAACAATGGAATTGACAGTTCATAAACATGTTAAATTGCTACTGCAATTTGTAATAAAACTGATCAAACGGAAATAATCAATATAATTAAATAAAAAATCATTTAATGACAAAAATAGGATTTATATTAATTATTAAAATAATGCTAAAAATTAATTTTAATCAATACGACATTATTTTTAAAATATATGTTTACACAAGTAATGACTCAGCAATGAAACTGCTGTCGTATAGATCACATTCGAACTGACTCCGCTCTAGTTATTCAATTCTTTCACGCGTATGCTTTTCCAGAAGGAAATTCTGCGTGAAAGTCGAAGCAAAGTCGCATTGATCCCTCCAGGATGAAGCTGTTATTCCACTGAACTTGTTACGTTATATTTATCAGCGCAGTGCACACTGGCACTACCCGTCGGGTTTTATCGTTTCTTTTGGATTTCGTTCTTCCACCGTCGTTTCAGCTAAATAGCAAAGCCACAAATGACACAGCGAATAATAAGCAACACATTATAAATTAATCTGAAGTCATATATTATATAATTTCTATTTTAATTCCATTCCTTCTTTCAAATTGGTAGGACATTTTTTATAATTTTATATATTATACTTAAAAAAATTTCAGTGCTCGGAAGTTGGAGAAAAAATTTTTCCAAAATTACCAAAACTTAATAAACAATCTAATAATAGCATTTCAGAAAATTACCAGAAGTGAATAAACCTGAGTTAAGTGCGAAATTTTTAATATATTTAATTAGAAACCTAAATCGAATAAAATATTATAGGACAAGTTTTTTAAAAATAAATAACATTTGCTAAAATTTTTTTACTAATACTTTTAATTTATGAAGAAAATAGAAGGAAACCTTTTCAAATTTTCTTTCTAAATATAATGTTCAAAATGCGTATCTACACTAAGATAGTAAATATTTTAAACACCTTTAAGAAAAAAATATTAAAAAATTTCCCTCTATTTTTCTTTTGGTTAAGAAAATGCACTAATAACGAATAGTATTATTTTTTATTAATAATAAGAAATATATTAAAAACTTTTTTACTTAAAGATGTTGCCTCTCAATAAATCATGTCCAATGATACCTTATTTGTCTATGTTTCAATTTAAAACTTAAGAGATATTATTACTGCAGTTCCTCCCCTTCTGAGATTTATTCCTAAAAATACAAATACATCCGATTTAATATATACGGTTTGAACTTAAAAATTATCATTTAAACTTCCAATAATAATTCTTGTAGTGCGGAAAAAAGGATAATTCATAATTTGTAACATTTCCTTATTTTTTTCGTAAACCCGAGAAAATGTTTAAAAAACGTTTCAGAAAAAATTGTTTATTTAAAAAAAAACTATCCTACACTGAAAAAAAAGATTGGCTGCTGCAGCAAATTAGATGGTAAAATATGGCATAGCATTTTTAATTGG